AAATTTGCCTATTTCGACTTTGTACTTGAGTAATGAATACAAAATAGGTTGCAAGTAAAATATACAGTGTTTAAAAAGTTACCTAATGAAAAACAGTAATTGAAGGGATCGAGTTCTTGTTGCATGTTAACCAAACTATCGAATTTCTACAAAATTTACTTCAGTAGGATTCAACAAGCAAGAAAATGGATTTTTGTAGATTTTCATCGAAAATACACTGAAAACAGCCAGCAAGTTCAGATAAATCTACAGCCCGCCATGTTCAACTTTTTCGGACTTGAATTCGGTTTAAATATACTTTAATATTCTCAATGAAATCTTCTAATTGAAATCAGATATTCGCCCAAAAGACGCAAGTAGTTTCAATATCTTTGGATGTAGACTCTTCTAAATAAAAAGTTCCATGATTTCAGTCAAAATCTATGGCTTTAAACATTATTTGTAAACTTCTCTCATAAGCATAAAAACTTAGACCTTCCCACTGTTATTATCAGATACCTTAAAAGTCTCTCAAAAATCACGACAGAATTTTATATTACTTTGGATTAAAAGAAATCGTAGGAATAAAAACAAAACAGTTTCTATATCCTTTATGCAATATTATTCTTGAGCAGAAATCTAATAAAATATTATGATTGATTGCTGTAGTTTTCTGCCTAACAGTGATACCTATAGTATTACCGTCACGGTATCACTGCAATAGTGTCTGCAGCAGCTTCTGTTTTTTAGAAAGATTGTAATATGGCATGAATTCTTACCCAATCTGAATGTTTGTCAGTTTAACAGTCAGAATCTCAATTATCGCGGTACATTTAGATTTTATTCGCATCGCGATAGCCTTGTGTTTTCTAGGACCACGGCAGATTTCCAGTTGCTATGAATATCTATAGTGCCTAATTAAAAACGAGTTCTGTCTACCTTTAATTGTGCAGATGACATAAGTATATATCCCATTATAAAACATGAAGGAAGAAAAGTTCAAGGTCATAATGGAAAATGATTACATTAAAACCTAGTATATTTGTTTCTTTTTTATATGCACGACATCATTTGACATGATAATTAGTTCACTACTATCAAATTTTTCTACGCATCTTTAAAATCATATAATTACTTTTCTGAAATAAGAGAACATCTCTTAAGATTCTTATTAATAGTTGTCTACTTTTATAAATAAAATTTCCTTATTAAGTATATTTTTCAATATTTATACGTACAGTATCTAATCGAAAACAATGGTTCATATCAATAGTACTTAATAGTTGTTCGTAAACTTCTTTTATTTGTTGTCCAATATGTAAATTTCTATCAAGATATGCAACTGTATCATCATCAATATCACCAAAATAATTATTAAATATGGTCGGGAAACTTGTTAAAAGAAATGATGATTGAAAATAAAAATTTGCAAGTGTTATATCAGATATGCGAAATGTTATCTAAATAAATAAAATAAAATTATGCTTAAAAATCAATTAAAATTTTTTGTTTACATTTTTAAATGTTTTTTCGATTGCTGAGGGTTGAGGACATAATGGTTCATCTCGAACATTTTCTCTATTTAATAATCAAGTATTAAAATTTAATTTAATTGAACTTTTTCTTTTCTTATCTCACTTTAATTCATCAAAATAATCTTTTCGTCTTTTTGCTATAGCTAAAACTGTTTCTTTACATTCATTAATACGTTGTTTTGGATCATGTGATGATGTAAGAACCTATTTTAAGCAATTCTTATTAATGAAAATATTTTATTTGTTGTAAAACGAACTTTAATCAAAGGTGGTATATCATCAGATTTTTCTCGCTCGTCAGGAATTGTTTGTGTTGTTAAATTTATTAGATCAGCTCGATTTGAAATCGATTTAGTTGATTCAATATCTCTTCTCTAAAAAAAAAAAAAAAGAAAAAACTTATGTTGATCAAGGTAAATTTTTTGAAAATAATATTTATTTACTTTTTTTTCTTCATCAATAAAATATTGTTCACGTATAATGTCTGTTGTTTTATATTTCGACTTTCTAATACTATTAAAATCAAAGTCAAGTTCTTCCGAAAGAAATTTTTCATGAAGATTTGGTAGTGATCCATAATATGATCGTCTTACAATTCTATAAAAACATTCATATAAATAAATGAGGAGGTTAGAAAAAAACAGTAAGTACTTTGAAGTTTCATCTTTTTCTTGTTCTAATGATGGTTTAGGTATTTGTACAGCTGATTTTTGTTTAATAATTCTTGGTTGACTGGAAGTTTTTTTTAAAGGTGTTGTTGAATCAATTTCTCTAGTCACGGGTGGTAGAACAACAGGTAGACGACGAAAACGATTAACATCAGGCATATTTGTCACAAGCTAACAGAAAAACAAAGTCAACATTAAATTATTAAATTACATCACTTACTTGATGTAGAATCTGTTTTGTATGATATTTTAAATCTTTGACTTGATATTTATAACTTTTACCAGCATGTTCTATCTAAATATTTTTCTTTTAAAAATTAACGATAAAAAAAATAAAAAAATAAATTTACCACATCACGAACATCTGGACGATGTTGTGATAAAACAATACTTTTATTCAAACGTCTTCGAATATTTTTTGAAATTGTTTCTTCAAATATTAAACCTTTTTTTATTCGTTCTTCTTCAATCATTTCAAAAGCAAGATGTTCGCGTAATGAATGAATATTAATTCTATTAAAACAAAGATTGAATTCTCTTTTTAGAAACAACAGATAATTTCATGTTCTTATCTTACAAAGTATTTATTCGATCAGCAAGTAATGTTCGTAATCGAGTCATATTAGCGGCATGTGAAAAAACATATCGATCATGAAATATTTGTGATTCTTGTATTGTATGTTCAAAAATATTCGTACAAATTAAAATAATATTAACAAAAAGACGACGAATTAATTCTTGATTTCGTTTAGGTGATAGTAATGGATGTTGAACACGCATTTCTTCTATATCTATCCATTTTGAACGCATTTGAGTGAGAACAACAGTAGCTAATTGTGATAAATCATCAGAAGTTAAACGAGTAACATCTGCTGGTACTTGTTGAATGTTAAGACGACGTCGAATCAAAGCTAGTAATTGTTCAACATCACGTGGAACTGAATCGATGGTTACTTCTTCCTGAATAAGAATAAAAGATATTGTCAAGCTTAACTTTTGTGGACTTAAGATTGGATAAATATCGCTTTTCATTATATTAGAAAGCGTTTACAGATTTGGAAAAAGATTAGTTTTGTATGCTTTAAACTGAATAGTTTCTCTACAATTGAATGCTTTATTACATGTGTTTTGATCTACATGATGAATTATTAATACAAAAGGAGAAATACAATACTTTATATCTTAGATTGCATTATATAAATATATATTAACTGAAATATAAGTAATTGAGTGTACTACTAAGGAAAAGTACCAAAGTGTTATCTACGCTATTTTGAATCGAAATATTGTCAAACTCGATGAATATAACATCACAATGAATGAACTAAAACACTTTTAGATGTTCGCTTTTGGCCAGTTAGAAAGTATTTCTGATGAGTTTGGATGAGGATTTTGTGCTTAGAAATGTTATGTCTATTTTTGTTCAAGAGTCGTGAGGAATTTTTTTTGAAAGACCTGAAAAATTACTTTTAATGGCGTGTCAATAGGCTTTTGTTGATCTTGTAAATCTCTTTTCGAATATGCTAACAATTATTGAAATTAGTCATTGTGTAGAGTAGACATTTCTCTACAAAATGTGGTGTTAATTGAACTGTAGTTTTCACTCAATCATTTTTTCAAGAGCTTCTTTCAATGTAAACCGATTGTTGGTTTTTCAAAAACACACGTTTAAGAAAAACAAAAACTGAAATGCCCTATCGAAAGATAAAAAATACCTTAAATAGTGCATTTTTTAGGGTAACTTCTCATCTACAAGCTGACATATAAATAAAGATGATCAAAAGTAAACAAAGATCTTGTCTAAAAGATGTCCAGCCATCCTTTATATATAAATAGAATTTATCATTGTTTCAGACTTTAGTACGATTAAAATAGATCATACGTCATGAAAACACAAGATTAGATCTTTATATCCAAAGCTTTACAATCAATCCGATATGCATGTCTACAAATAAACATGTAATGCTAAACGTATCTTTACTTAAAATATGACTATTTCTGTAGTACTTATGAAATATCGCATATGACAACAAATACTCACGAAATATAACACGTTTGTTATTCTCTCAAAAACTAACTAATCTTCGATTTCATACGATGCATGGCATTTAAAATTTACCTTATTTAAACATGCTTGTTTTTCTTTCTGACGAAGGAAATTCTTTAACTCATAAATCGCTTTTAAATCCAAACTACATACATTATGTAGACCTAAATGAGCTATGAATATATTGAAAATAATTCGGGTTTTTAGGTTATTACTGCAAAGATACACTGCACTTTTATCGTATTCTTTAAATAGACGTCATGGCAACATAAAAAGTGATCTTCGAATTCCGATATGAAACTTTTCATAGATACCGACATTAAGAAGAGTAGTTTCAGATCTTTTGATTGGTTTCTATCCTGAAATACAAGTGATTTATATGAGTAATGTTAAAGTACACGATATTACTAAAGTTGTATTTTAGAACAGGAACAGCGACATGATCTGAAGCATTCATAATAGATTATTCTTGTTAAGACCTAAAAATGGATTATTTTCGCAGAAATAAGCTAAGAGGATAAAGTCTGTTCAAGGTACTCATAAGTTCATTCTGATCGAATTGATACATATAGTTTCGAGTCTAAAATGTGTTATCACTTGGAGGATTTCCTTAGTAAGCCAAAAAGCTTATATCTGATAAAAACATGCATAGAAAATCTCCATACAATGTATCATCATTCATTTATAGATCAAGATCTTCTTAGAAAAATGGCTCTGCGTGGTTTTTTTTAACATGAACTTTACAAAATGGAATCAAGCCATTTATATAGTTTAGTTATTAAATAAAAATAATAGATTTTCATTTAAATAAGTTAAAGAACTAACATCTGGAGGTGTAACCGGTCGTTCAGGTTCAAGTCGACGTGCAAATAATTGTATAGACTCTAATTAAATGAACTAAATATAATTTTCAAATAAGAAAGAAGTTAATTTTTACCAGCTGTTTCATCACGTTGATCGAAAATGGAAAGTTTTCCAATGGTATTTTTAAAAGATTGATCGATTTCATTCTATAAAACAAACGAAAAGAAATAATTTTTTTTCTCTTTTTATTAAAAAAAAATTGAATTTCTTCTATTCACTTTTAATGCTTTTGCATCATTTAAATCAAATGCTTTTTGCGATCGATTATGAATTGGTCGAAGTGGTTTCTCTTCATCAGGTGTTACAGATAAATCATAAAGATTTTCTACTTGTGATAATGATGTACGCATATTCATTCTATGGTATTTACTCTTTCAATCGTTTACTCATCGAAATCAATAGAGGAAAAAAAACAACGCTTGCTTATTCAATTGTACATGTTTGAGATGCATCTTAATCAAATAGAATTAGGTAACTAAGATGTTTGATTTGTCAATCGTACAACAAATGAATCAACATTGAATAGATGTCCGTATGTATGCTTTGATTCTTATTGGTTATTAATAACACACATACTTCCTCAAATGAAATATTGCGAAAGTCAAATACAAGTACCTATTATATTAGTTTAAATTAAACTGAGATTGAAAAAAAGATTAATTACAAAATGGGTAAAGGTCATAAAGATCGACGACGAGAAAAACGAGCTCGTGAAATGGAAGACCATGATAAAGATGAACGTTTATTAAAAGAAGAATTGGAAAAAGAAAATGAAGAGCGACTAATTAATGAAAAATTAATTGAAACATGTAGCTAGGTTATTTATTTTTCAAGATTTTCTATTATACGTTCGATTTTTATATTTTAGCATCAGATACAACAGATTCAGGACATGGTAGTAGTATTACAACATCAACTGATTCATTACAATTATCAAAAAATGATCAACAAGATGAATTAATAGAAAATAAAAAACGACGATCATTAATAAAAGGTCTTTATAATATTGGTAATACATGTTTTTTTAATGTTATTATTCAGGTTTGTTATCAATAAAGAATATCTTCTTAATTGTATTTTATTCTTTTGATATTTTCAAGTCCCTTGCTCATAGTTCATTATTAATTGATGCTATGTATCAAACAATACATATTTTAATACATAAAAATGAAAAAAAAAGTTCATCCACAATAACTGCTCAACTAATGAATGTATTTGATCAATTTACATCTGATGAACGAAAAAAACCAAGTATTGATCCAAAGCCATTATTTAACTGTCTTATTCAAAAGTAAAATTTTATAATTCATCACTTGATATATTTAAATAATAGGTTTTATTTAGAATACCATCTTATAAAGGATATGATCAACATGATAGTCATGAACTATTTATGAATCTTATGTTGATATTACGTGCAGAAGAAATTCAAGTAAATTACAAACAGGATGATCCTAAAGTTACTTCACCAGAGAAAGAAATAACTGAAAGTTTCCGCTCTATCGTGACCGAATCGGCTGATTTTTTTATCAACAATGAAGACGTTTTTTATGAATGATAAATAGAACCAATCATTTTTAGTTTCACGCGTACGAGGGAACATTTTCAGGTATCAAATGGCTTTTCAACTGAGACAGTGTTTATTTGATGATTGCTAGCAAGTAACAGAAAAATTTAGAATATTTTGGTTTTTCGACAAAAAAGCTATGATTCTTCTCACTCCATATGAAAAACCGACTTTCTAGATTTGACTTCAAACTTTGCACCAACACAGTTCTTCATGAGATTAGTTGATTGTAAAACTAGTATTTGTTTTCTGAAGATATAAATATATGAACAAAGCTTGTTTTTATATATAAGAGAATATTGAATATGTCAGGATAGTCGACTTTTCATATGACTATAGCTTTTTCTTGAAAAACCAAGCTTAATTTCGATATTTCAGCAACAAAGATCCGAAAAACCAAACTATTCTGAACTCTTTTATTATTCATTAGCACTCAAACAAATGAATATCGTCTCGATTCAAAATTCATTTGACATCTGGAGAGATTCTCTTGTGAGTGTTATATATACAAGCGAAAAATAAGATATCATTTTCTAGTGGTATCAATAAACTGTAAATATGTTGTAAGATCTCTAATATCCTTCCTCTTGAAGACTCATTACTTTGTTTTTAGTTCCCTAATGTTTCGTCTATTCTGTAAGTTATGTGTTCAATAACTGTATTGTTTACGAAAAGAAGAAAATTAATTTTACTATCCAAACTATACCAGCAAATATAGAAACCATTGTTTCTCAATGATTTTCACGTGAACTCATAGAACAAATAAGTCTTGAGAATTTGACATTGTACACAAATCTTACACGATCATAAAAGATATTACTTCGTATGAGGAAATGTTGGTTCTAGTCCCAGCGAAATCGAGACCATCTTGCCTATATCTTATATACGTTTGACTTAATTAAAGAACAGTGATCTTTCATTAGCTATGAGAGAATCATATAGTAGTTTTCTCAACTAATTCTTATTGTTTATGACTGAAACTTTTAGGATACAATCAGTAACAAGACATGTATTCGTGGTACAAATTCTAGACCGAACGAAAATAGTCTGTAGTATCAATAGAGAAAAAAATGTAGAGTTGAATTTTGGCTATGAAAAATAATTATATTGCTTTTTCATAACTTGTGAAAAGTTGCAGTTGTTTGTTGTAGTCAACGGTTACGTTTCAAAGCAGTATTTGTCGATTGTTACTCTTATAAGTATTTCTTTATCACTAGTAAAAAATCAGCACATTTGGTCAAAATATAGCGGAGATAATCAGTTTTTTTTCCCGTTCCGTGGAATGATTTTGGACTACTCGGTACTTATTTAAAAACATGTTTTATTTTCTTACTTAGTTAAAACAATTAGAACAAAGACGACCTATTAACTGCGAAAATGATGATGATCTGTCAAAAATGTTTTGTTGTACGTATACCATTATCATAAAAAAAACTGAAATAATTGATAGGTGCTTTTTAGTAATTGGTTGTAATGAACCATATACAACATATGATTCCATTTTCGGTGGTCATTTACTTGATGTTATGACTTGTAAAAAATGCGGCAAGGTTAATATTAATGCCATTGAAAAGTATTATTTTGATGATTTATTTTTTAGTCATTAATGAAAATTGAACCATTTCTTGGTCTATTATTACCTTTAACTGATCGAGTAAATACATAACATACTTTTTTTTTAATTTGAAGAAAAACAAAACTTTTTAATAGGTGTCACCATCGGAAAATTATCGTAATCGACGTAAACGTGATGATTATACAGGAAATAAATCAAAAAAAGAACCAAAAATTTTATCACGAAAACAACAGAAAGCATTAGCAAAACACGAAAAGAAAAATGTATGAAAGTTATTATTTTACAAGCGAAGTATTCCAACTGATAAATCGCTTTTGATTCGAGACTAAATGAATAGTATGGTGACAGAAACACTAATTTTTGAATTTCGACATGAATCTTTACATATAGACAAGTCTTAACGAGGGTAATGTCATGTTTTTTTTTTTATTTACTTCTATCCTGAAATAAGAACATCGAATCTGCTTATTGATATGAGCTATTAGAGATGTACACGGCTATCCTACAGAATTATGGCTAGAAAGTTTTTCTCAGTCCAAGTACAGGATACGAAAAAAGCTTACTCTACACATCACTATGAACTGTGCAAAAGACACACTATTACTATAGTTGTATCTTAGGATAGGAACAATGACAAGATCTGAACCATACACAAAAAACTATTCTCGTTAAGGCTTGTTTCTATGCAGAATCTCTAGTCAAAGTTCGAAAACCCTTTTTTTCTGATACCATGGCATTCATGTAAAAAAAAGTACTGCAAATTGCAGTATCCTTGTAGCAACAAGCCCCAAGGACACAAACTCATGTCAGAATATTTATAGCTCTTTTTTGACTACATAATGAATATCGGCTCGGCTCAAAAAGCGATTGGACAGTTGTAGAATTTTCTTCATTACCTTTTTTTTTATTCATCACATATATGTTATAGAGTAGAAGAAGTGCTAGAGTTGCCTCCAGTAAAATCAAAGGTCGACAATCAGCAAATACAAAAGTTGTTCAAGAACAATTGCCACTTGAGGAACCATCTCCTGTAGTTTCCACTGAAGAAATAACTGTAACAATTGAAGAGAATGAAACAAGTAAAATTTACAAATAATTTTATTCAATCAATTTTCTTGTATATGAATTTATAGAAGAGTCCGTTGATATAAAAACAGATAATCCTAATCAAGAAGAAAAAGACCAACTAACTACTACAAACAATGACAAAGAAGAAGAGGAAGCGGAAGAAAAGCCGAACAGTGACGATAGTGATGAAGATGAAGAAGAAGAAGAATCTAAAGGTCCTTTAACAACTGTTGAATCAACTTGTGTACTTTCTGATATGGTTTCAAAATTAACACTAATTCATGAAACAGCATCTCATCCATTACCATTTGTTGATGAGAGTATTGCCCAAAAATTTTTAAGTTGTCCCAAAGCAACAAAAGATGCAATAATAACAAATGAAACAGACGATATAAAAACATTAGAACAATGCTTTCAAAGATATTTTAAACCTGAAACACTTTCCGGCGAAAACCTATTCGATTGTTATTATTGTCGATCATTAGATCAATCACAAAGTAAGATTTTATTTTTCTTTTAAAATAAATTATTGTATTTTCAAAATCTATATTTAGAGAAAGTATTAACAGAAGCAGTTCGTCAAACAGTATTCTTTCAATTGCCACCAATATTACCAGTTTTTCTTAAAAGATTTCAAATGGTTTGTAAAATAAATGTATTATTTTTTTTAAAGCAATAAAAAAAAAACTAAATTTCTTTTCTAGTTCAATTCTCATAGTGAAAAAATTAATAAATATATTGAATTTCCTCTTCGACTTGATCTAACTCATCGTTGTTCAACTCAAATAATGTCGACTTCAGCAATATATTCATTATATGCTGTTATTGAACATTCTGGTACACTTCGAAGTGGTCATTATATTGTTTATATCAAACAATCAATAAATGATAATGATTTAACAGATAAACTATATTCAAAACCTATAGATTATTTATTTAAAAATTTATTTAAAAATGCAACAGATGAACAACCTAATAGAAACGAAGCGGTAGATCCATCATGCCCACCACCATCATGGTATTATATCAGTGATAATACTATACATAAAATACCCGAAAGCAAAGTGCTTGAAGCTGATGCTTATGTTCTTTTTTATCGAAGGATTAACTAACAGTGGTGATTGTTATTTTTCTTTTTTTTTATCTTGCTATTAATAAATACGCAGAATGCTGCTATTTCTTTCGTTTCTTTTTTTTTTCAATAACAATGTTTCATCGATACGCTTCATAATTTTCACCTGTATATTGTTGAGTACAATTATCACATAGGAATATAAAAGGATAGTCTATTTTGGTGTGTGTAAACAGTTGCAGTTTTGTTTTTAAATGCACTTATTGACGTAAGAACATCAAACAATGGGCCAACGAGCATCCAGAGAGTATGGTGATGAAAATGAATTGTTCAATTTAGCTCAAATTCGACAAAATCAAGATGTACAACAAGGATTACAGGAACAACCAGCTATTATGATGCGATTGCTGGCACCGACTACTATTGGCATGACTCAAGACTTTGTAGAACCAGCTGCCAAAGTACGACGAAACCCAGGGAGACAAGCACAACCAGTTGGTTGTTATGAAGGATACTGAATATATATATAAATAACATAGTCTTTGAACTATAATTTCTTTAATTAATCTAGCTTTTTATTCTTTATAAAATAGAATTATTGCTTTATATATATATGCTTGAATTTATTGGTCTATATGACATTTTATGTGATAATTCGGTTTGAATATGACGAAAATTTCATTCATTGAGTACGAACAAAATTTTTTAAACTGAACAAAATAAAGAAATCCTTTTTCAAGATAAATTAATAAATTAAAATTTGTTAAACTACAATTAGCTTACAAGACGTTTTATGCATTATGATTTGTTTTAATAGTAGAAATCTTATAAAAAATTTAACACAAAATATTGTATTACAATCTACAGTGTAACATTTAAAATTCTCTAATAATTTGTATCTATACATAGTTAGTGAGAATAGCATGCCGAAGAATGGTTATTAATACATCATTTGTTTTTTTGTTGTGAGTCACATTTCCGCCGATGTAATTAATAATTAAATATATGTACTTATCAGGTAAACAACATCATTCAACGAATGATAGATATGAAAAACGTTTTTTTTCAGTTTATATCGAAAATAAGACCCACACATGAATTGAAAGAACGATCGTAACTAACAGTCATGTCTTGAAGTTAATTTAGATAGTCGAAAGTTAATTTGAATATCTAGTTTATTGGATATATGAGAAATGAATAAAACCTTTCGTGATCACAGGAACGAGTATACACATAAATGTTGTAGACAAAATGAGAATGCGACTAGAGATAAATTCATAAAATAAAAGTAAAAATAGAATAACTACTTTTCTTTTGTTAAACAATATCTTTTCACTGCATCAAATAATTTACGAGACAAAATATTTTAATATATTAACTCATATGTGCACAACCACATCGTTGCGGATGACATCTAGTTGAACAAAAAACTCTTAGTTTTTTTTAATATGTACATCGTTTGCTAGCACATTTGCCTTTATAGTTGCATTTGAGATCGGTTGTGAAATCTCTTGCTGACGAGATTGTTGCGATTACAATTTTCTTTTTTTTCTTTTTCATGTCATTCTACCATCAGTAATGTACGTAATTATATGGCTTTATATTTATTCGAATTCAAATTTTGCTCAGACAAAGCTGAAATGAAACTTCTTAACTGATGGGCATCCAGTTAATACTAGAATCCTAATTTACTGTGTAACATATACACTCAATACAAAAGCTTTTTAATATGAAAAGAACCATTACGATGTCATTAGCATGTTGAATTTGTTGATTAGTCTTCTCTACTCAATGAGTCATGACTCATGACTCATGAGTAGTAATGAATCAAAAAAGTACATCTGTGTGCATGAATTATCTAACGTGTGATTGAATGCATACTTCACGAGGAAACCCATCTAATTGAAAGGCACTGTTTCAGCTCATATTTTCCCATAGGTAGGTCTTATACTCTAGGTAAAAGTCCTAAGAGGATTCATGCTATTAGGCTTTTCTTCTCAATTGAATATTACCCCAATAACAAATCTTATTCTCTCTAAAACGAATGAGTTTCTCTTAAGATATGTGATATATGAAAAGTGAACTGTGGTTGAGGCTCTTGTAAGAAAGTTGTGCTATTTGAAAGGTTTTACCTCTGAAGAGAACCATTCACTTGTGTTGAAAATTTCGGGATGTAATAAGGACCATGAGGTCTATTATTGAGAAGGTTTTCAGACAGAAATTCCTTGTTGAAGATTTTTTCATAATATTTTGTGATAGGTTGAATATTCAGTAAAATGATCATAACTCGAGAGGAAAGGCCTAATAGTACGAATCTTTTTAGAGCTTTTATCTACAGTATGAGTCTCATCTATGGGCTAAATATAAATTGAAACGGTGGTTACCAGTTGGATGTGCTCCCTCGTGAAAAATTTATTCCCCTGACAACATTAGGCTTTAATACAAATCGTAGAAAATCATTAGTTTTCGATATGAATCAAATTGGAAACGTTCCAGCTGAAATTTGAATTGTTAACAACTTAGCGTTACATAGAATTAATAATATTGAATTGGTCAATTTACCTTCAAATATTTATTATATTAAGCCTTCCATAATAATTTGTTTAGTGACAGTAACGTGAAAACAATCGTTGCGAAGTTAAATATAACAAATTTATTGCTGATATTTTTCTATTGAGCAAAAAGAAATTTTTTGAAGGAATGTTAAATACTTTTTGTTTTTGTACTTATTTTATAATATCGAATTAATGTAATAAAATAAAAATATAATCACTGAGATTAGTCTATGATTAGACAATAAACATTTTCATTATTTTACAGAAGTTCAAAAGTATTTTCTTTCGAACAGAGCTGATGTCAATGAGTTTCATACATCAAATGATTGTTTCTATCAAAGAGAATGGTGCTACCTAGGTTAGTACGCATAGTAAAAACTGAATTTATGAAATATTAAATCGACTATCGACGAGAGAAGAGGATGAAGATATTAGTATTATAAATAATAGATAAATCAATGACTATTGTAAAGTAAATCTCAATAGCTTTTAGATAACGAATTAGAAGAAAGATATTGGCATGATACATAACGCTGAAAATAATGAACATCGAATCTTTCGTTAAATATTATATTCACCAATGAGACCGCATATTATTCCTTTATATAAAAAAAAGTATTTTGATATTTTTCTTGTTTTCTTTCCGTATTTAAGAAACGAGCCATCTTCTGAGGAACTCATTCTTACTACGTTTGTTCTGACAATTATATGTGAATTTCATAATTGGTACAGATATACAAGCTATTCTATATACAAATAATTGAAATCAATTTACTTATATAATGTTACCAAAATGAAGTTCAAAACTAGTCAAATAAAGATTGAATATAGTTATTGATGATATACTAAAATGTGAGCAAATATTAACACCATATTATACTCGATGACGTAATCAATGACTATATAATATTATCAAACTTAGGAGCTATTGTTTAGCGACAATTAGTTGTCATAGAATTACTTGTATGCTTGAGAAAAGCGTGATTCCGATTTTATTTTCTACAAATCTCAATTTGCAGACATGTGTTTCAATCACATACAACACTGTTCGAGGACCAAGGTGATATCTGACATATGAAGACCTATCCGATGACATGTATTCATGGATGATCTTGTTGGTAAGCAATAGTTGAGTATTGACATTTACATTTTGAAATTTATCAAAATGTTTTGAAAAGACAAAAAACTAAATTCATTGTCGAATCATCAAAACTGTAGCAGAAGGAAGCTCCAAGACAAGGAAAAACTATAGAGGATTATGAAAAAATCATTAGCAACATATGATAGAAACTTTTTCATGTTTTTCTAATTTCCTTTTGTATATGATTATCAGAAGTAATACTCTGTGTATCTGATGGTTCGATTACTTTGATAACCTTTTACTTTTATCATAAGGTACATGTATTATCTTTTAATGGTCCTGTTTCACATTCATAGATGACTAGGAGTTTACTACATTGACAAGTCTTTTTTTAGTTATTTATTTTGTCTAATAATCGCAACGACAACAATGATATTAAATGACTATGATGGTTAAATACGAGATACAAAAAAAAACCCATTCGGTAGAATATCGAAACTAATTTGATCATATGAATGATACAATAAAAAAAAAGTTGATACAGTCAATAGTTTTGAATACCCTTGTGAAAATTTATTGCATGCCACCACCACGAAGACGAAGCACAAGATGAAGTGTACTTTCTTTTTGAATATTATAATCACTAAGTGTTCGACCATCTTCAAGTTGTTTACCGGCAAAGATAAGTCGTTGTTGATCTGGTGG